AACGGCCACTGTAGAGCAGCATTGCTGTAGGGCTTGCATGGGGGCGGCGGCGGCTCGCAGATGGGAACAGTTATAACCCCATGAGGTAAGCGGATTTGATTTTCAATCGAGTTGCAACGTCGATCAGTTTCGCGATCTCTGTGTTGTCAACGGGCGCATAGTGCGAAGGGCAACAGGCACAGCATCGAATGATGCGGAGTTTCGCATTGGAGAAGTTATTGACGTTCGCGCGGCCAGAGGCGTGGCTTGAAGGCGTAACAAAGAGCCCTCCGTTTCCAGACGAGAGTAGCCGACCGCGTGGTCGATATTGTAGGCCATATTGCGTCCAGCTTGTGTAGAGTGAAGATGAATGACCATTTGCGGCAATCGGCAATGATATAGTCTTACGGAGTTACGTCTGTGGTCTGGTGCCTCCCGGGGGGCTCTCGTGAGGTGTGGCAGCTTTTCCTGCCACCGCCAGCTTCGCAAAAGATGTTCATGGCGCCGGTTCCTTCCACGGCGTAGTAACGAACCTGATTGGAGTGTGCGGAGGAAGGGGGGGAATGGCCGCACGATAAGTGTACAGCAGCTTGTAATCCGTAAGTTATAGATGTGTTCAAGCTCCCTGCCCGCCCGCCCTCAAGTTAGAATTGTCTGGCAAACGTCTGTGTCTCCCGGGAGGCTCTCGTGAGATGTGGCAGCGCTTCCGCCGTCGGCTTCCGAAGTGCGTCCATGTTTTGCGGTTCCATCTTCGGTATCACCGTCACCGTTAATATCATGATACGCAGCGACACCATCACCACCAAGTTTACCACCGTGACCAAAATAACCACCATCACCACAATCTGTTTTGACCGCCCTCCTACTTGTAACGGCCGTCCGACCGATTGTACGCCGCCTGGCGTCAGTTGAATTTCATCTCTTTTCTTCCTCCTGCCTCCCTTGAACACGGACCGCACCCCGGCCCATTCTAGCCAAACCCCTGAGCGTTGTCAGGTGTTGAGCTGGCTAACCCTTTTGGCGTTGCCCGCGGTGACGAATGTTTGTACTCAGTGCGATTCGCCGTCCTTCCCTCCTGCTCATCCTCTTCCTTCTTTGCCCGCGCGTGTGCCCGTGCGTTTGGCTGCAAGTCCGCTCCCTACATACACGATGCTGGTAGGCTTGCGCTGCCACTGACGTTCAAGCAGACACCTGGAGACATCGACCTGCTTTCCACACCTAGCCGTGTACCGAGGCATGTTTCCGAGTTGCATCTTTGAGGTGGGTGCCTGCATGCCAGCAAATCGAAGGCAGACAATACATCCGAGGGGGCCAGCCTCGTTGGGCACACGATGCCCCAGCTCAGTTGCATTGTCTGGCGATTGACTCGTGTGCCACGACTGGCGACGTCTAAGACGAAACTAGTAACAAAGAGAACACGTATTCATCATCACCGCCACCATCATCACCGCCACCCCTCCTTTTGTTTCTGCGGCTCCTGCTGCTCCCACTCTCTTCTTGTCTTGCTTCTCTCCCCGCTGCTGCCGCTCTTGCCTCTGCTCCATTCTCCTTCTCGAGCCTGCTCCTGCGTCCAGCCCCATCCATGCCCTTGTTCCTCCTGCTCCTCCTCCTCCTCCTCCTCCTCCTCCTTTTCCTGCTCCTCGCCCTCCTCGTAGCCACTTTGGCTCGGGGCATCTTCGGCCCAGGGCGACCCACCTGCTCTGGGACCCGCTTCCATCCGTTCTCCGCCCCTTTCCCTTCACCGCACTTCCAGGGTCTCTCCCCTCGCCGCGCGCGACGGCCGCCCTCGTGCGGGCGGCGGGCGCCGCCGCGGGCATCGGCGGCCCCGCGGCGCCGACGCCCGCGGCGGCGCCCAGGCCTGCGCCCCCCCCCCTCCGCCCGTGCGGGGGCGGAGGGGGAGCGGCCCCGCGCCCGCCCGCGCCCCCGGGCTCTCGGTCCGCAGATTGGGAGCGGGAGCCTCGAGACGGGGGTCAATGCAAGCGGGGGTCAGCCAGGGCGCCAGATCCTGCAGGATCCTGCGAAGACCCCCTCGGGCTGACCCGGGTTATGGGAGCCGCTCGTGGCCGCCAGGCGGCCGCACATGTTGGCTGACCCGGGTTTGCGAAGACCTGCGTTGCAGTTTTTTTTTTTTCCTGCATTGCAGTCTTTGGTTTCCTGCTGACCCGGGTCTGGATTGACCCGGGTCAGAAGATCCCCGATGGGAGCATCTGTGCCATCACCTCCCGAGCTCGGGGCCGCCCGGCCATCGTGCGAGAGGGCCGCGCGTCTTCGGCGGCCGAGGCCGAAGCGGGCCGACTTGCCCAGGTTCCGGGGCAGCACTGCGAGTGTTGGAGAGATGCGGGTTGAGTCTGTCCAGGTGCAGCAGTCGACGACTGACCGATTCGCACTGATCAAGCGTCTCCAGGAGCAGACCATCCATGATCCGACCATCGAACAGGACGGGAAGGTGCGTGGCATGTTCGGTGAAGTTCAGGACCAGTTGAACGCATGTGGTGACCAAGTCTCGTCCTCGACCAGGGCAGCTTCAGAATGTGTTGACGGAACCCGTCGGCGCAGCAAGATGCTTCGGAGTTCCGGTTCAGACCATGGCAGTGTGATCCGTCTCGCCGTGCTTGGTTCCGGAAACCTCTGATGGAAGCATCGCTGAAGGAAGCAGCCGCCCCGATCGCTGCAGCCGCCAGTCCTCCTGGTGAAGGACCCGCCGTGCGAGCGCACACCCTGACCAGGAAAGTGACCCTGGACTTCTCGAACACCCTCGCCTACCCCGTCTCCTTCGGGAAGACTCAGCCGATAGGAATGGTCCCGCTCAAGCGCCCTGTGGATGGTACCGCACGGGCCAACGGGAGCTCTATGTCCGACGTGGCCTCCCGCCGCAGGGTCGTTAGTCGTGTTTCTATTGGGGCCCAGTGCGGTCTATCGTATTAAAGTTTTGGGTGGGCTGCAGTTGGGCAGCAATGGGCTGGGTGGTCAGCTATACGCCCGTCTCGCCTTTCAACACCCCGTCGTCCTTGCGAAGGTTCCGTCTACCGAAGCGGGCGTTCCCGAGTTGCGTTTTGAAGATGTTGGGTTGAGTGCGTTCGGCAAAAGCGGGCACAGTGCATCCGCAACCTTTTTCATAAAATCCGGCTCTTTGTGTGAGGATCCGCGGACATGGCATTTCTGTGTTTTTGTTCGCCGTGTGGGGTTCCTGACCTTACCGTGGTGGGTTTGGCCTTTGGCGCGGGGGTTCGGCACGGTCTCTCTGCACCTCCAGTTGTAGCCCAGCCAGCCTTTAATTTCAATCCAAATTCACCCCGAGGTTTTTCGCCTCCTGATCCCGCGTCGGGGGCGAACGGGGTGTTCTCTCAGATGATAAATTTGTCTGTCTGCAGCTGGACCAAACACTCGTGTTTTTCCTCCTACTGCGCAGTCCCCTGAAATACGATGTGTCCGCGTTGTTGGCGCGGTTTCGTGAAGTAGATTTGCGTGTGCCTTGACTGTGTGGGTGGACGTGCTGCTCCTGTAGGTACGGATCAAGGGGCGCAGACAAGGGGGCCAACTCCGATTCGATTTCGACCAGGGTCCCACGGGAGGCTCTGTGCGTCGGCATGGTAATATATTCCATGCCCACTGAATTTCCATGGTTTCGGCGGATATTGTTTCAGAGCCGCCGTTTTGAATTCATCAGTGAAACCTAAATCCATAGGAGTATCATGTGCCCCCCTGGGGGTGTGGGCAGTTCCCTTGCCCTGGTAAGCCGCGTATTGCAGCTTCCAGGGTGGGCATGGTGATGGCGAAAAATCGGGTGGGCGTCTCGGCCTTCGCCCCACATGTGCACAGGTTGAAGTTTCTGTCCCTGCCTGTGTGCAGGCAGGGAGGGATGCAAGAGAGGCAAGGAACTTGGTTCTGGGGAACAGCCAAATTGATTGCAGGTGCGACGCATCGGGGTGTCGAGGATGAGTGCCACGCCGTTGGCAGCCGCAGCAAACGCAAACACGAACATCGTTTTCAAAACAGTGGATTGCCCAGGTGTGCGTGTTCCCGCTATTCACCTGGCCTCTGTGCAGGCCCCCTTGGTTCAAGTGCCGAGCACAACGCACGTGGCCGTGACCACCCCCAGAGGGCGGGCACGGCTCTGGCATTTGACCATGTTTCGCAGGGTGGTCCTGCGGCTGTTGCGAAAATGAATCCCTGATACGCGAACTCCACGAACACGATCAAGGTGTGGATCGAATCCTTCCATAGGGGGGATCTCCTGCCTCAGCGTCGTTTTCCATGCGTAGGGATAAACATGCCATGCCCATGCATCAACTCCTCCTCCTCCTCCTCCTCCTCCTCCTCCTCCTCCTCCTTCCTCCTCCTCCTCCTCCTCCTCCTCCTCCTCCTCCTCCTCCTCCTCCTCCTCCCCCTCCTCCTCCTCCTCCCCCTCCGCCTCGTCCTCCTCCTCCCCCTCCCCCTCCTCCCCCTCCTCCCCCTCCTCCTCCCCCTCCCCCTCCTCTCCCCCCCCCCTCCCCCGTCCTTCTCTTTCCTCCCTTCCTCCTGTTCCTTCTCCTCGCCTCCCGCCTCCTCTCTCTCCCTGCTCAGCCCTCCTCCTTCTCCCCCCTCCCCCCTCCTCCCCTCCCCCTTCTCCTCCTCCTTCTCCTCTTCCTCTCCTCCTCCTCCTCCTCCTCCTCCTCCTCCTCCCTCCTCCTCCTCCCTCCCCCTCCTTCTGTTCCTCCCGCCCCTTCCACCTGTTCCTTCTCCTCGCATTATTCCTCCTTCCCCCGCCCTCCTCATCGTTCCTCCTTCTCCTCCTCCTCCCCCTCCTCCTCCTCCTCCTCCTCCTCCTCCTCCTCTCCTCCTCCTCCTCCTCCCCCTCCTCCGCCTCCTCTACCTCCACATCCTTTTCTTTTCCCCCGGCAATGCACCTCCTCCTCCTCCTGCTCGGGGTCCGGAGGGTGGGTGGGGGGGGCGGTTTGGCCTGCCCGATCGGATCTCCGCCAGTTCGCTTCGCCCTTCAGAGCGCCTTGTCACCACGCTTCGGGGAGAGCCTGCGAGGGCAGGTCGAACGGGCGGCGGAGTTCAGCGCCATCAAGAATGCTTCGGCCAGCGGCAAGCCAGACACGCCGGCCACGGCGCTCGAGTCGATCAGCAGGCCTCGGGGCAGCGAGGGGGCGTGCTACTCCGCCGCCGCACGGCAGGCGGTAGGGACGTATCTTCTTCCTGATCCTCCTCCTGCTTCTCTTCCTGTTCCGGTTTCGTTTCCCCTCCACGCCCATGCAGCGTTCGAGTACATCATGCCGCCGAGCAGACCCAGGATCAAGGCCAAATGGCGGCCTGAGGGGACAATGTCCCATGACACTGTCAGTTTTGAGCCCAGTGGGCTGCCCCTACCCGTGGGGCAGCCGAATACACAGACGCCGAACGGGCTCAGAAGGGAAGCGTCGGGCTACCCCCTGTCCTTCCATTGCCTTCCGCTCTGTCTCTCCCTCTCCGCTCCCTTGGTTTGAGCAACGCTGTATGGACTGAGCGACGCCACGTCTTTGGTTATCGTTCATCCCCACGGCGAGCGCCACGAAAAAGGCGAAGCTGCGGGTCGGGGGGAAGGGCTGAGTGGGGCAAGTGGGAGCACCAGGAGGAGGAGCTCCAGCGGCAGCAGCAGAGACAGGAGCACCAAGACCTCCCAGCCCAGCGCGTGGCCCCTGGAAGCCTTCTCGCCCCGAGGTCGCCTGGCAACCCCGAGGTGTCCGCGCTGCTCTTGCCCTCGACCCCTCCTGCCGCGTAGTACCCCTGCTGCCGCGGGGCCCCCCAGGGCGTCCACGGGCGTGGGGCGGGCCGCCTCGCGAGGTTTGCTTCTCCAAGGCATGGGCTGCACACGGCTACCGCACGTGGCCTGGGCGTCCGCGGTCGCGGCATACCCCCAAGAAGCGCCGCCGCCCTGATTGCAACGGCTCCAGCCCTGGCCGTGGACGCCTTTCTTGCCTGCGGGAAGACTGGGAGCGGGGGGGAGGTGAGGGGAACATGGGGTGGGGGGCGAGGAGAGGGAGGAAGTGGAGGAGGGGATGAGGTGGGCAGGGGGGAATGAAGAGGAGGTGCACCCATGTGGACGGAGGGACGGGGTGAGAGGGATGAGGACGAGGAGGAGGAAGGAGGAACAGCAGAAGGATGATGACCATTAAGAGGAGAAACTGGAAGATGAGGAGGTGGGGGACGAGGAAGGGGGCGAACGAGGCAGACTAGACTAGGAGGGCTGCGAGGACGAGGACGAGCGAGAGCAGGTGGAGGAGGCGGAGGCGGAGGAAAGCAAGGGCGAGGAGCAGTGGCAGCAGAAGGAGGAGCCCTCCTCTCCCCTCCCCCCCTCCCCCGCCAACCCTCCATCATCCCTTCCGCCATTCGACCGCTTCCGGCCCCCTCCCCTCTTTCCCAAAAATCCTGCCTCCCCCTCCTCCTCCTTTTAATATTGCACCACTTGATTACTATTTTCCTCTTTCCCCCAAGTGCGTCTGGAGAGTGGCCGCCCCCCTCAGCGTAATTGTTGTTTACGGACATGTTTTGCGCGAGCGAGATTTTTTTTTGAGATTTCTGAGGTCGATCCCTCTGGGTCTTGTTGTTATTTAGAGCAGTAAATGCTGAGTACGAAACGCACATGAGCACATAGCCACCATCACGTGGTATCGCATATATTGTTTTGACTGCGACACGCCACGCTGTGGCCGAAGAAATGGTGTCCTGCCAGAGCGCCGGAAGGGCCTCCACACCCCCAGCTGCTTCGCAGGCGTGCCTGTAAACTTCCTGGGGCCACATTGCTCGTGGTCGCCCTCTCTTTCTCTTGGTGGGAGGGGGGAGGAAGAGGGAGGAAAAGGGCTGGACCACTGCGCAATGCACGGCGTCGTCATTCGGCTTTCTGGCGATTTGACCACGAAAAAGAAGCTGTCTACGGAGGAGCGTGCTGCTAAGCGGGCGGGCGCCAGCCTGTTGAAGCACGGTTTCGTTTGAGATTCTGCTGATGCACGAGTGGGGAATGCACAACAACTTGCGCAGACATCGCGCCTGGAATGCGTCCAAACGACACACCTCGTATTTGTTAAGAGACGAAGTGTGCAAACAGTGCAACAGCTTACTTAAGACGTAAGACTAAAACATCTGAATATTCTTCCGCTGCGTGAGAGTCGAATGGCTCCATACCCTGGCCAATTTGTCAAAATCTGCGCCTGCAGCTCCTGGGCGGCGCGACAATTCTGAACCTATTTTGCCATCGTCGAGAATCAAACTACCTAGATAAACTATGCTTCCCTTCTGTGGGATTGGGGTGCCGTCCAGCTGGAGAATGCGTACGTCGGCTCCTACAGCCAAGGCTTCTAGCTTGTGCCAAGTAAGCTGTAAACCGTACTGTTGCCCCATACATTCTACAGCATGCATGTGCGCACCGGCTGATTCGCTGGAGCCGGCTAGCAAAAAAATGTCGTCTGCGTATATAAGCTCGTTTACGTGCATGCTCTTATTCAGAGAAGGATCCGCCTCTCTCTCTCTCTCTCTCTCTCTCTCTTCGCATCGCGCAACAATGTGATCATCCATCTTGCGAACAAGACTGGAGAGAGCGGACAACCCTGACTGATGCCGAACGCTCGTGGATGCTCCTCCGATGTTTCTAGATGGCCGTAGCCAGCGTCTCGTGCCAGGAGTCGGGGGCCACGCGTTCTTCCCAGCACTCTTTGCACAAGGACACCGCCCACCCGCAGGCGGGGGCCCCCGGAGGGCAAAAATCGATGTCAAGAGCTCGCCTGGAACTCCGCCTGCGCCCGCGGCCTTTCCTTTCTTCAGGTTGGCAGCCGCTGCCCACACCTCGTCTTCGGTGATGGGATCACACGACGCAGGTAATCACCACCCCCACCCACCAGATTTACCCTCGATTTCCAGTGGGGGGGGTCGGGGAACACTGAAAAAACACATGTGGAACCCTTACCCCCCCCCACCCCGAAATTCGAGTCTTCGGGTTGGGTTGGGGTGGTCTGGTAGGTCGTCAGTCTTCGGTGATGGGATCACACGACACAGGTAATGTAGGACCCAAGCTGTCTGGGAATTGGGCGAGATAACTGTGCCAGAGTGTCGGCGCGCTGGTCCGAGTCCACGAGTTCTCTGCTCGCGTTCGCGAGCCAGCCCTGCTTCGAGGCTGCGCCTTCCCGGAGCTGCCAGATCGGCGCCCACTCACCCGTGGCGAGGCTGCTCTCCAACCACTGCGACCTCTCTGATTTCACAGATGCCTGGACCTGCCTGGCGAGCTCGCACTCCTCCTCATGCGACCCCTGCTCGCGAGCGGCGTTGCGCTTTTCGATGAGCGCGAGGGTGCCCGACGAGATCCAAGGCCTCCTGGGCAGCAGCTTCGTCTCAGGAAGAACGCGGTCGGTGGCGAAGGAGAATGCTTGCATCATCCGTTCATTCAAATGCTGGGCGGACTCGACGTCGGTATCGTCGCCCTCCGAGCCCATCTTCTCGCAAAAGGCTTCGGCAAATGAGTTCGCAACGCTCGGGTCCCGCAGAACATAATGGTACCAGCCCTCGGCTCTGTCCAGGGGATGTCGATCAAGACGCGGGCTTGCACAAGGAAGTGGTGCGATGCCAACGCTGCGGCGCGGTCGTTTCAGACGCGTTGCACCCAACATTTCCACTCCGAGCTGATGAGAAACAAATTAAGTTGGCCGACATGTTGCTCTGTGAGAGGGTCCGCCAGAGATGAGCCATTGTCATAATAAGTGACCCGTCTCTCTGTTGGCTCGTCGAACAGCGCGTTTGCAACAGCGAGGCCCCGAGAAGTACATAGCTCGACCAGAACAGAAAGATTCGATGATGAGTTATGCTGCGCACGAGGGGTACTGAATACGGGTGCGCCCAAAACTTCTTCCTCTCCAGGGCGCCGTACATGAAGCTTCGCGTTGAAATCGCCACATGCTTGACAAGATAACGACCCAAGAAATGTGTTCAACTGTTGGAAGAACATCTGCCTCTCCAATGGCGGTTTCCCGCTATGGGGGGCGTAAACACTGCACAAAACCATATTACCACCAACAATTCTTAATTTTGAAGAAGCCATTCTCGAAGAGGCCTGCCGGAAACCGATGACGCTTCGGCGCAATCTGGGTGATATCATCAAAAAACCCACGCTTGCCGTCTCGTTGGCGTCGGCGGCGGACGCCCCCGAGAAGATCAACAGGATGCCCTCCTCGGTGACCGTGTACTCCAGTTTCGGCTTGCGTGTCTCCTGGACGCAAAGTAAATATATCCCGTATGATGTCATATGCACCTGGAGCTCGACAAGCTTGGCCTCAGTGAAACTCTCCACGTTCCGCGTCCTCAGTTGCAGACTGGCGCCGGCAACTGATAGCCGCCTCCCTCGGGACAAATCTGCCTCGATGCCAGCGTTAACTTTCGCCCCGGGCGCGTCCGCAGTGCCTTCGCCAGCGGGCGGTGTGCCAGAGCCCATGCAGTGTTGAATCAATCGATGTGGGTTTACACATGCGGTAGTGCCGACTGCGGGTGAACTTGTGGGTGAAACTGTGCTCATGTGCGGTGTCTCCTAATGGAGTGGCTTCCCCTTGGAGCCGCCTTTCGCCTGCCCCTTCGTGCCCGCCATCGCCCGGGAGACGATATCCGTGCTCCTCTTGGCCAGGTCTTTGATCTTCGGATGCTCGTGGAGTGCAGCCCATGTGGCCAAATCCCCCTGCCACTCGTAGAGCTCCTTTTAGGTCAGGACGCTCGCCGTCAGCGCGTGCTCTCCGCCCACCGTGACTACGTCTGGCGCCTCGTCTGTGATCGAGATCGTGTAGGGTACCGCCCAGTCCGTCTTCAGGAGCCGCTTGAGGCCAAAGCAAAAGCTCCGCGCTGCTCTCTCATTTGCAGGGCGGTCCTGACTCGCCCAGATATGCTCGTCTCCGTTCCTGAGCCCAGCTCCCCGGAGAAGCTCAACCGCCCGATCTCGATCCGAGGGGGTGCCGAACTCCGCGAAGACGATGCCAGCATAGGCGCCCTTCCCATAAACCTTCACGGGGGGCAGATGCCCCCAAAGAGACCAGTTTCTCTTCCAGCCATTTCGACGCCTGAGAGAGGTTCGGGATCCCATCCAAATTACCGACCACGGCCGTGATCATGCGTTTGTCTGTG